TTCTCTGGAATGGGAGTAGTCTTATTTTCCTTATTATTTAAGCAAGCAAGCGTTTACAGAAGCCAAAATAGGGTTAAAATTTCAAACAGCAGCTTTTATATAAGATGGATGCTTCAGGAATCCTCTTCTAGAATGTCTCAATGTCTGGTGTCAAATTCTTTTTGTTTAAAACCAGAAGTCCCTCCCTAGCCAGTTTGGCTCAGCTGATAAGAGTACTTGGGTTCGATTCAGGTCAAGGGCATATGCAGGGTTGCAGACTCAATCCCCAGTGTTAAGCCTGCAGGAGGCAGCCAGTAAATTATTCTCTCTCCTCATTGATGTTTCTATTTCTCTCTTCTCTTTTTCTCTCCAAAACCAATAAAAATATATTTTAAAAATAAAACCAGAGGTTCCAAGAAGTTTACCTAAATTGATATGTATGCTGACACCAAACTGAAAGGGAAGCTGAGTGCTATTTTCCTGGTTGCATCTGTCTCTGAAGGAACCGATGATCAAAAAACCCATCCCCAATGACTCAGGCAGACTGAGATCAGACCTGAAATCCAGCCCATATAACCTACAAGCAGGTGGCACTTTAATGCTAGCCTTGGTCTTTTCTCAATTTCTATATGGGAGACTTGTTGGCTGGGATGGGATGTAGAAACAGGGAAGCAGATAATGGATTTGGAGTGGAGAAAGGGGACCAGTTTGAAACAACTGTGAGGAAGAAAGGAGATGGAATGGATCTGAGAGCTCTGAGATGAAGGGAAATGGATGAAACTAAGGAAGGGAGTAGGAGAAACCTTCTTGGCTAGAAGAGAGCAGGGACCTGAGGCTGCATGGCACTGGGCCTGGCCAGGGGACCACAGGCCTTGCCCACCACCCTGGTGCTAGGCTGGGGGACTTCAGGCAATGCCCCCCCCACTGGGCGGGGCTTGACAGGGGACCTCAAGGCGTGCTTCCTGCCCTGGTGCCGGGCTGGGGTACCTCAGGCTGCACCTCCTGCCCTGATGCTGGGCTGAGGGACCTCAGGCTGTGGGCCCTGCCCCGGGTCGGGGAACCTGACGGTGTGCTGGGCAACCTGAGGCTGTGCTCCCTGCCCAGCACAGCCTGACGAGGGTGATGCTGGCCAGGTCTGGATCTCACCCAATGGGGGTGGGGCCAGCTGGGTCTCGCACAATTTTGAGGTGCCATGGGTGGACGAGGAATTGACCCTGGGTCCCTGGGCACACCCCAGACTCTGACAGGAGGAAGATTTTCATATACATTTTACTACTTTTCTTTCATCCCTGACACTTCAATTATAGAGAAAGGGCAAATAGCAATATTAAAATATTTCCTCTAATTAATCCCCTTTTAATGTGGACAAATTTCGTGCACCTGGCCACTAGTATTCTATAACTAATTTTTTTGCAACTTTTCCCTATAGTCATACCAGCCTTTTGCCATTTCTGGACAGGAAATCTCTATGAATTTACTTGTAAACTTTTCATTATATATATAATAAAAGGGTAATATGCAAGTCGACTGAACAGTGGAACGACTGGTAACTATGATGGGCACTGACCACCAGGGGGCAGATGCTCAACACAGCAGCTGCCCCCTGGTGGTCAGTGTGCTCCCACCGGGGAGTGCCACTCAGCCAGAAGCCCTGAGCCGGGCTTACAGCTGGTGAGCGCAGTGGCAGAGGTGGCGTTAAAACTGTCTGACTGCGGCTTAGGCCCGCTCCAGTCAGACATCCCCCGAGGGCTCCCGGACTGCTAAAGGGCACAGGCAGGGCTGAGGGACCCCCCACCCCCCACCCCCTACCCCCAGTGCACAAATGTTGTGCACCGAGCCTCTAGTACAGTGATGGCGAACCTTTTGAGCTCAGCATGTCAGCATTTTGAAAAACCCTAACTTAACTCTGGTGCCGTGTCACATATAGAAATTTTTTGATATTTGCAACCATTGTAAAACAAAGATGTATATTTTTGATATTTATTTTATATATTTAAATGCCATTTAACAAAGAAAAATCAACCAAAAAATGAGTGTCATAGGTTTGCCATCACTGCTCTAGTATATTTCTAAAAGAGACTCTTAATTTACATACTTCTACATTAAAATTTTTTAAATTATTTATTTTTTAAATTTATTTTCTTATAAAGGGTGAGAGGATGGGGCATTGAGTCCAGCAGAGAGTGAATTCAGCCTTCCCAGGTGCTTGTTCTCTTCAGGCCGTCAGTGGATGGGTGTTGCCCACTGACATGTGGAGGGCTGTCTGCTTTTCTCAACAGATTCAAATACTAATCTCTCCCAGAAATCTCACAGTCACACCCAGAGTTAGTGTTTCAGCAGCCAAATGGCTATCCAGTGGTACAATCAAGTTGAAATATTAAATTGACCAGACTATTCTTCAGAGTTTTCTCAATCGCTTATAGTTCCTGTAAATAGATGCTTTGGAACTCTGATGAGATTTAGATTCATTTATCAGGCAAAACTTTCTCACAAATAATGGTGTAGTCCCTCCAACCGTTGTATGATGTCTATTTTTTTTTTAAGAGAGGGAGGGAGAGAGAGTGCCAGAGAAACATTAATGTGCGAGAGATACCTCAGTTAGTTGCCTCTCTTACATGACCCATCTGAGGATGGAACCTGTGTCCTGGTGCACGGGACAACACTCCAACCAACTGAGCCACACAGGCCCCTCTTTTTATTAACGGGCCTTTAGGGTTAGAGAAATGGGGGTGAGAGAGAGAGAGAGAGAGGTTGATTTGTTCAACTCATTTTTGCCTACATTCCTTGATTGTTGCTTGGGCACTGGCCATGAACTGACTCTGAAACAGTGACACATCTGCACCATGCTCCAGCCAACTGAGCTGCCTGGCCAAGATCACGTTTTTTTCGCCCAAATATTTTTTTACTTTAATGAAGCTGGTACAGACCATGCCCATTTAAAAGTCATCCCTGGCTGAAATGTACAAATAAAATTAAAAAAGAGCAGTGTTCTGTTGCACACACTTCTGCACGAATAACTTTATTAAATGCTGATGAAAATTAAAACTTTTCCAGGATCTTCTGACAAGATTTTTTTTACTCTTTAAAATATATATCTATATATATTTTTTTATTGATTTTTTACAGAGAAGAAGGGAGAAGGATAGAGAGTTAGAAATATGAATGAGAGAGAAAGATCGATCAGCTGCCTCCTGCACACTCCCTACTGGTGATGTGCCTGCAACCAAGGTACATGCCCTTGACCAGAATCGAACCCGGGACCCTTCAGTCCGCAGGCCAACGCTCTATCCACTGAGCCAAACTGGCCAGGGCAAGATTTTCCTTTACTCTTAAAATACTTTCTCTTCAGTAAAGCCATCTTTGGCGTTAGTCGTAACTCTCACCTTATCTGTCATCTTGACTCCAACCTGATATTCCTCTTCTTTTGGTCCAGACCTTCAGATTTTAAAAGTAGCTTCAAGCTGATGAAAGGTCATAATTCCACAGTTCAGTTCACTGAAAAACTCCCACCTCCCACTGAAAGTCATAGTCCAGGAGTGAAGCAATCACATGCTAGAACTTCCGGGCCAATTAGAAGTATTATGAACACTTGCATTGGTCCACCTCATTTATCACAAGCCTCAAAATGCACAGTCCTGAAAAGGGTGGCCTCCCTGTGCACACACATAATATTTCAAAAGGAGAGGGCGATATGAAGGAGGTTGAGGCTTGATCACCAAAACTCAGCACAGTGAAAACCAACAATAATGAATAATGGGCACTAGAATTCAAATTACCACAGGTTTTAAAGAGATGGGGGTGTCACTTTTCAATTCCATTTTGAACACCACATTACAAAAGAATTATTTTTAACAATAAGAAAGGATTGAAGAGAAAGAAAAAAAAGGGATATCTAAACCATTGAATGACGCGCTGTTGTTCCTGACAAACTTCACTCACATCTTCCTCCTCCATTCCCAGTTGTCTTGGAGTGTGATTATCAACATTTCTCTGACCCTCCAAGAGAAACCTGAGCCAGTTCATTGGAACTCCCCGTCTTAGCATGATTCTTTGAGTTTCTTGAGATGTGTTGTCATTTTCACATTGAAGTGAATCTCACTGCTGTCCTGTCCAATGACTGAGTTGAATGTACCCTCCTTCCTTCTTATTCCCCAAGTTCCCTGTTGAGGGTTTTGCCTCTTAGTCTCACATGTGCTTGGTGCTTCACCTGGGGTCTCCGCAAAGAAGGAGCCTCTGGTAGGCAGGACCTCACTCCTGGGCTTACAAATCCTTCTCTTCCCTACAGCACAAGATCCCTTTTTTTTTGGTGATGCTTGAGGCCAATAATAAATTTGCCTAGATTGACTAATTCCTCTTAAGTTGCAAAATAGGTAGACTTTACTTCTCACTCCTCCTTAAATAAATATAATAATAAAAGGGGTGATATGCTAATTAGACAGGATGTCTTCCGGAAGTCCTTCCTGACAAAGGAGGGGCCAGAGGGAAGCCAGTTCAGGTATAGGGTGCCTGCTGGCGGCTGGAGCAGAGAAGCCTGGGTCCCAGGTGCCAGAGGGAAGTGGGTTCTGGCAGCCAGGGGAAGGAAGACCTACTCTTGCACGGCTTTTGTGCATCAGGCCTCTAGTTGTCATGATAAATGATTTGGTCTACCTGACATATTGTTCATACAGGCAGGGAAGGGTTAATGCTGATTGAACTTTTAAGTGGTGATATCTTTTGGTTCTCAGAAACCTCTTACGACTTGCATGTTGCTTGTTTTTTTTTTTTTTTTTTTTTTTTTTTTTTTTTTTTTACCAGAGTCCACAGTTGATTTCCACCGGGGGCAACCTGACATTAGATACAGGAGAAGCTTACTAGTTTAGGAAGACTGGACATCAGCTGATCATGGGAACTCTTCTGGGAAGCTCCTAGTGCCTTCCACAGTGAGAGAGTCCTGAGCAGACCTCAGCTTCTCACTTTCCCTCACTCCCGGAGGATCACACGGTCTGAAGAAAGCCTTTTCTGATAGTCACCTTCACTGCACCATGGTCTTTGCTGCTTCCCTGGCCGAGCTCCAAGCAGAGGCCAGCTGTCCCATCTGCCTGGATTACCTGAGAGACCCAGTGACCATTGCCTGTGGGCACAACTTCTGTCACTCCTGCATCCACCAGCGCTGGGAAGGTCTACAGGGCATCTTTCCCTGTCCTGTCTGCCTCCACCACTGCCCTGACAGCAGCTTGAAGAGGAACACCCAATTATGTCACATGACTGAGATTGCTAAGCAGATCCCCACCTCAGGGAGCCAGAGGGAAATGCAGGAAGAAATACCCCTGTGTGGTAAGCACCATGAGGTCCTGACCCTGTTTTGTGAGAAAAGCCTGGAGCTGCTGTGTCCCCAGTGCAAGGGCTCCTTAGACCCCCAGGATCAGGCCCTGATCCCCATTGAGGAAGCTGCAGCTAGTCAGCGGGGGATGCTCAAAAGGCACATTGGGGTCCTCACTAACAGCCTTGAAAGTGATGAAACTGTACATAAAAAGCAAGTTGCAAATATTTGGGAAGTAAAGAGAAAGATGGAAAAATGGAGGGAGGAATTGGACTATGAATGTAAAGAACTTAAGTTTTTATTGGAAATAGAGTTCGATGAAATTGATAACGATCTGCTTATAGCAGAGAATGATGTTGAAGAAAAACTAATTGAAAATGGAAAGCAAATTTCATACCATATGTTCAGGCTAAACATTCTGTTATTTGAAATAGAAGAGAAGTGTTTGCAGACAGACCTGGATTTACTCACAGGCATTGAAAGGATCCACAACAGCTATGGAAACATAGAGTCCCCAGCAGTGTTTTCATGTGAATTACCAAAGGAGATTTTCACTCTCCCCCCACATTACGTGGGCCTGCATAAAATGATCCGCACGTTTCAGGTAGAGTTGACACTGGATCCTGAAACTGCCCACCCAAGTCTCATTATATTAAGAAATAGAAAAAGTGTGATATATAGGACATCATTTGGTTTTCATAATCCCCAGGCACTTACTTCTTACCCAGCTGTCCTGAGTTCTGAGGGATTTGATGCTGGCAGGCATTTTTGGGTGGTAAACATAGGAGGCACAGGGGAATGGTCCTTAGGTGTGTGTAAGGACTCTTTCCCCAGAAATACTCTATCATCATCATCCCCAAGCAACGGCTGTTGGACTCATACATTTGGCCCTGCCTCTATAGGACAAGGAAAGATTGGTGTTTTCCTGGACTATGAGTTGGGAGAGGTTTCATTTTATAATTTGAATAGCTGCTCATACTTGCATGGAATCACTGCTACATTTACAGGAAAACTTATGCCTTATTTCTCCGTTGCATCTTCTTCAGAATCTCTTACAACCAGTATCATCAGAGTCTAGTGATGACAAATTTGAAAGAAATGTTGTATGTGCTTAGTCTCTACTCTTGCTGTTGAAAGGAATACTTATAATAAAGATCCTGATTCCAGTTTTGATGTTTGAATGTTGCAAGTTTGTAGGATGCACTTCTCTCCTCCCTGACCTTACACCTGGGAAAGCTGATGAGAAAGTCCAGGTGCTCTATCCTTGCGGGTAGGGGGAAAGTGTCAATCAAACAAGCTTCTGCCAACATCATCCAGTACCTGCCATGAACACCACAAGCTAGTCCCTTTCCCTGTGCTCTCAGTCATTTTGGGACCTAATGTAATATCCAGCCTTCTCTCTGTCCAAAGCCTCATCATGTGAGTCATAAAATTTTTCATACTCTCATCCTATGTGGTGAGTCATCATCAGTGTGAGCATTTGAAACCAATTTCGGATGGCTCTACCCTGACTATGCAAGCTGGTCACCACCTTTTCCAGATATGAAGGCCCCCACCAGGGCTTCCTCCTCTGGCTTTGGGTTATAACACACCCTGGTTCCCTAGGCAAGGGTGTCCTTTCAGCTTTGCTCTGCATTTGCTGAGTTCGATGGAGGCTGTGTTGTATATTTAACTGACCTAAGTCAGAAGTTTCGGTAAGAAAGATATTCTAGGCCAGCCAGTGATGCTCCTTCAGTGGTTGAGCATTGACCTATGAACCAGGAGTCTAGGGCACATGCCCTGGTTGCTGGCTCAATTCCCAGCAGGGGGCGTGCAGAAGGCAGCCAATGGATGATTCTCTCTCATCACTGATGTTTCTATGTCTTTCTCTCTTCCTTTCTTTCTGAAATCAAGAACATTTATGTTTTTAAAAAGAAATACATATTATTTACTTTTTATTATTTTTAAAATATTTTCCATATACATTTTTGGGAAATCTAATTGTCTTATTTTTGTTTCATGTTTTATTCAATTATCATGTACAGGGCTGAGCAAAAGCAGGTTGACAGTAGTCATACAAATATATACAGTAATAAATAACAAATAATACAAGAATACACTTTTGCATATTAATCACTGTAAACATACTTTACTTTTATTTATTTATCAGTAGCCCAATGCACGAAATTCATGCACATTAAAAGGGAATTAATTGCCCTAACCGGTTTGGCTCAGTGGATAGAGTGTCAGCCTGCGGACTCAAGGGTCCCAGGTTCGATTCTGGTCAAAGGCATGTACCTTGGTTGCAGGCACATCCCCAGTGGGGAGTGTGCAGGAGGCAGCTGATCAATGTTTCTCTCTCATCCATGTTTCTAACTCTCTATCCCTCTCCCTTCCTCTCTGTAAAAAATCAATAAAATATATTTTTTTAAAAAGGGCATTAATTAGCAGAGATATTTTAATATTGCTATTTGCCCTTTCTCTATAATAGAAGTGTGAGAGATGAAAGGAAATTAGTAAAATGTATATGAAAATAATATATAAATTTACTAATATATAAACAGTAACAAAAGGATTAACAACAACAGAGGCATGATATAAAAACGACAAAAATATGATATGAAAACAACAAAAACATGATATAAAACAATAGTGATGCAATGACTGATAAAGTGATTAAACTTATTCTAATATCTCCCTGTACACCACATTAAGAGTGAAAACACTTTCAGAGTGCTTGACTAATTTCCCTTGTGATGAAGTACTTAGAACTTTAACTGTAACATCACATGCTCTTCAAAACTCAAGAGAAAGCAACATATAACTGACCATGTGCAAAAACGGGTTCAGGTAGGAACATGCCTACTCTGTCTAGAGTTTGTCCTTTTGATTTATCAATAGTCATCACAAATGCTGGTATCACGGGAAACCGTCATTGAATCAATTTAAATGGGAGGCCAGTGTCAGATGGGAACAAATTAATTCTTGGAATCAGAACAGCCTCTCCCTCTGCAGATCCTGTTAATACTTCAGCTTTGATAATGTTAGGTCATAATCTTTTGATAATAAATCTGGTATCATTACAAAGACCCCATTTACTATTGAGATTTCTCGATAGCATGATGATTGCACCCACTTTCAATTTTAATTTATGACACGTTATTCCTGAAGGAGTAATAATATTCAGAAATTCGATGGGGAAAATTTCCTTTGTTTCTTTGTTATGGGGTGGGGCCACAACATTAGTAACAAAGAAACAGAATTAAAACTTTATTGTGGGGAGCCGCTACAGTGTTTTGGACAGGTTCAAGCCTTGGACTGATGAGAGGGCACAGTCCTCTCATTGCCACGTGCAAGTCCCAGCTTGGAGGGCAGGGCCCTCCCAGCACAATTATAGCCAACAGCTGTAGTTGTAAGCTTGAACCTGTGGTCGGAACACATGGCCCCACATGCCTGAGTGATGTGGGCTTGATAGAATTCAGGTGCATGTAGTTGAGTAGGATTGAAACCCAGGAGAATGTTTGTAAACATCTTGGTCACGCCCTTACTTTGCCTCGTAGCATCTGCTATAAACTAAAGGCATGGCTGTGGGCGTGGTCGCTGTCTCTCAGAGAAGCAGCGTCCCACCGACACCCGGCTTTCATTCTCTTGTCTGTCTTTTCTAAGCCTTTCAGCCGCCCCACTCAGGTTCACCCTGTGCTGGCATGGCACACTTTAGAAAGATCTGCCTCCACGCTCCCAGGGCAGGTTCCTGCCTCAAACTCTGCCCTTATAGGAAACAGCTCCGGGAAACAGCTGGGGGAGGGCACACCGTTGCCAAGACAACCCCTGTAGGACTAACTTCCTTCTGCTGGGTTGAGGTTCCTCCATATATGACGAACACCACCCATGGTTTTTATGTAAGTAGATTTATTCATTCATTTATTTAGTAATTCAATTCTTTATTAAGGAAATTTCATTCTTTTGTTAGAACTTTTTAGATTTGTGTTTGCAAACATTTAACATGGGGGTGGCGAGGGGAAACCAAGAACAACCCACACCACCCTTTCCCCAGCTTCTGCAGCAGCAGCAGCAGGACCTAGAATAGGGCTCCAGAGAGGGGTTTTCACTTGAACCTTGTCTGGCTCGCGCTCCGGGCCCCGAAATGCCTTCATTACCTAGGAACTGGGCTCTGGGTAGCGTTGGGGGAGCTCTTGGTCGCTGCCTCCTAGACTGTGTCGGGAGGCTGCTGGGTCGCTGCCTTTGGGACAGCGTCGGGGGAGGCCTGGACCGCAGCTGCCTGACTGCAGCGGAGACCTTCCAGGACTCCTGGGCAGCGTTTTTCCACGGGCCTTGTGCCCGGAGTTGGCGGTGATAGTGAGCCAAGTTCATGATCATGTTGGACACATCCTTTTGGTCAGAAGGCCGACCAAATGTCAAGATCTCACTCAACATGTGGAATGTGCTCTCTGCCGGGCAGAAGATCGCTTCCACCAGCCTCGCCTCCAGGTGAACTGTCTTCGGGCTCTTGAGGTGCTCCGTGTGGAACCAGTGAGCCTGCTCCGTGTGGGGCTCTTGAGGTGCTCCGTGTGGAACCAGTGAGGCTGCTCCGTGTGGAACCAGTGAGGCTGCTCCGCACTGTCCCCCAGCACCTGGAATGGCACCTCTCCCCGCTGCTCCACTTGCGCGCGTGGGAAAGCGCTTGGTGGTGGCCATGCTGCAGCGGGACACGCGGGGAGTGCTGGTGCAGATGCAAGTAGGCCAGGCTACCGCCAACATACTTTCTTTTTAAATCCTCACCTGTTGATATCTTTATTGAGAGAGAGAGGAAGGAGGGAGGGAGGGAGGGAGAGAGAGAGAGAGAGAGAGAGAGAGAGAGAGAGAGAGAGAGAGAGAGATCTACCTGAGAGAGAAGCACCAATCAGTTGCTTCCTGTACTTGCTCTGACTGGATTGAACCTGAAAACTATGTGCCCTGAATGGGAATCGAATCTGCAAACTTTCTGGTGTAGGAGACCACATCCCAACAAACTGAGCCACCGGCCAGGGCTGTGAACCTGCCTTTGACAATCCCTGTGTGACCTCCAAAGGTCACAGAGTTGCTTTGGCATTAAGTGAAATTTCAACCTTTGAGAACATGCTGCTGTTTGTATGCCTGTATGTGTATTGTTTAAGTATTTGGAAATAAAGTTGCAGTTTGCATCTCTCTGTACTGTTCATCTATCTCCGTATCTTGAAAAGATGCTCAGCAGAGCTTTCATTGAGGTACCTGGGACCACTGCACTGACCAGAGTGGCCCTGCTATGCTGTGGTGATCTCAGGTGCTTATTCTTGTAAAGTGCAGTGTAGGCCAGCAGGCGCTGCTCCATTACCCACCCAGGGATCTAACTCCCTCAGTCATGTGTTGTCACAGCACTGGGTCAGTACAGCTAGAGAAAGAGGGAGCATTGAAGGGCCACCCTGAGCATTGATGTCCAACACCAGGAAGAGACACACACTTTTCTCTTTTTCCATTTTCTAAAAGTCATTGCAAGCCCTACTTCTCTGCAAGGGGTGAAGAATGCATGTATTGGGAGGTGAAAAGCTACTGTTTGCTACAATTCCTGATTCCAATTAGACATTAGTAAAATGTACATTACTGATGAGTATGAGAATGAAAAGTCTTTCATTAGAACTGGTAAAAAGATTACCATAGGAATTTATAGTAGTTTGCCTTAATCCTATAGCAGTTGTTCAATAATGTCACCTATAAAGAAGATATTTCTTCTTTATGAAAAGTCTTAAAACATTATTTCATAGAAATGTAAAGCTCTATCATTTTGCAATTTTGGTGGCTCATTAGAAAATGAATCATTGAGTCTAATGTCTATACACAATGGGATAAAAAACATAATGGGAGAGACTTCTGTTGACAATTAGCCTCAGAGCTACCTTTTAAAAAATCCATGCTAATAAAAGGGTAATATGCTAATTAGACCAGACATCTTCAGGATGTCCTTCTGGACAAAGCCACAGTGGTGGGGGCCAAGGCAGAGGCTGTTAGGGGTGATTAGGCCAGCAAGGGAGAGCAGTTAGGGGCAATCAGGCTGGCAGGGGAGGGCAGTTGGGGGCAATCAGACCAGCAGGAGAGCAGTTAGGGGGCGATCAGGCTGGCAGGGGAGTAGTTAGGGACATCAGGCTGGCAGGCAGAGTGGTTAGGGGTGATCAGGCAGGCAGGTGAATGGTTAGGAGCCAGCAGTCCTGGATTGTGAGAGGGATGTCCAACTGCCTGTTTTGGGCCTAAACTGGCAGTCAGACATCCCTCGAGGGGTCCTGGATTGGAGAGGGTGCAAACTGGACTGAGGGACCCTCCTCCCCCGTGCACTAATTTCGTGTACTGAGCCTCTGTATGTGTTTGTGTGTGTGTGTGTGTGTGTGTGTGTG